CTCAGCCGATATAACATCTTTTACATAAATAACAACTCCCCTACAATTTTTTGTAATATTCCCAACAAATGTACTATAACCTGGTATTTTAAATTCACATGGGTGTATATTTGTTTGATCACCATTTTTTGGAAACATTTCAGAAATTACTATGATGTCCGGTTCGTGTATTGATATTACGACAACTTATTCATTTAATTTATTCAATAGTCCATCTGCATTTGTATAATATACTTTTAACTTATTTACATTATGCTGTTCTCCCTGAACATTGTAATTTAAACTTACAAAACTGTCCTCCATATTTGAAGAGTTTAAAGAATCAGGACTCTCTTCTAAACTGTTTAAACTATAGGAACTGTTAAAACTACTTATGGAACTGTTGAAACTTGAACTGTTAACAAAACTATTTGTACAGTCACTGTCTGCACTATTTACTTCAGAGCCGAAATGGCTGGATCTCCCTATCCATTTCCCTTCCTAACGCCGCGAAGCTATTCTGAACTGATGTCCCAGAGTTTCCACCCCGTGACGAGTTACCACCACGACCACGTCCTCTACCTGATTTGCTATTACCAGCAATCTGATTTTCATGTAAAATATTTTAAGCGGTTTCGTATCTTTAAATGCAGCGTCTGTAGTCAAATGGATCACAGGATTACAAAGATCACAGGATTACAAATGTAGGAAGAAATCGCGACCGAAATGAATTCCCATATATCAACTTTAAATTCGAGGTCACGTTTAGTGATGAAAAGTGGAATAGTGAAATTTCTGCATTAGTTGCACCATCTCTCTAAATATAAGAATTCTCAGCAGTCTAAAAAGAAAGTTAAAGAACTGTGCTGTGTACTTTATTTTAGAACTATCTATCCTTTTAGTTTTATTTCATTATGGAAAGAACTATCCTTTACATTTTAGTTTAGAACTATCCTCTACATATTATTTCAGAAAGGCCAATGGAATCCCAGATTTCATTTTGTAATAATTGTTAAATGACCAATGAAAACTGTTCTTATATTCAGTGCTTCCCTGTAAATTTTACAGGAAGTCAAACTGAAAACAGACCGGCCTTCCACCGGAACAATTGTACCAAAATAAAATCTTCCTTTTGTTTTAGACTCATTGCCGAACGTTCCATTTGAAACGGTGAAATGGAAAAATCGGTTTTCTTATGGTTTTTATCATTTTCGACGTTGCTGCGATCTGCAATTATTACGTCTGAGTGAAATATGTAAATGTCCATAGGAAAAGGTTCACATTTATCAGAACTGGATTATCATATCAATATAAACTTAATCATCCAGATAGAAATAGTTTCATACGTGCTTTAATTTAGAAATATTGTTATAAGAAACAAAATAGAGACATATGTGAAGACTCAGTCCGTGGCGTTGGACCTTCTATGGTACAGTTTAAAAGTGAGTCACAACAGATAATAGAGACTGCCGACTGGTCTAGAGCGACTACTGTTACGCAACATTAGAAACACATCTATTAGGACATTGTCTCTACTTTCTTGTAGATCTTCGGATATTTTGTTCATTTTGATGTCAACACATTTATATGTAAATACAGAGGGATAAAACAATTTGGTATACAAACATTTGTATATATAACTTATAAACATTTGTATATATAACTTATTAAGAAGGAATAGGAATTCCTCAGATATCGTCATGTAGTAGACCATTTCTATTATATGTTTAGAAGAAACAGAAGATAAAGATCGAGTTCACTTCATTCCACCTTATTGAGTATTAATGATTTTTAAGTAGATGATTATTTGGGGTGAATTGAAAGATTCCAACAACCAGGCATGCATTGCTGTAAAATCTGTTTTCATGCAAACTGTTATTTTAGATAAGTTTCAGTCATGAAGATTGTTTGAAAATGAAATGTTATGAATACATAGCTCTAACCTGGAATAGCAGTTAAACTCCAAACCTCCCATCCATCGTTCAGTCCAGAAACAGATAACAGGGGAACTTGTGACACAAGAAACGTTTATCGACGTTCATTATGCGGATCAGAACCAAAGAGTACTCACACTATTACGCCAGGTTTATATTACTCATTCATTAAATTTCAACTTGAAAAGAAATTTACATCTACTTTCATAGGCAAAGCAGGTATTTTCTTAAACTTTGCATGATTAAAATAAATCATAACGTCTATTTTAATGAAGCAAACTTTTCTTTTAACCCATTACCCGATATGTACACGCCTTTTAACGCCTTTTTCACTACCCCTTTTTTGTCTCAAATAGTGAAAAAACTGCCTTATTTAGGCCCCAACACTTGCTTTTGTTTAAGAAATGTAGTTTAAAAAGGTGACTACTTTTTTAGCCTCGCCCCCAATCCAAAAGATATATCAGGGGGTTGTCAGAAAGGGGATGTGCCCCCTTCTGTTTGGGGGTTTGAAGGGGCGGTAGCCCCCCCCCCTCCTCATCGCAAAGAAAATTTTGGACTTCAAGAGAGGCTAAAACTGACCCTAGGTCAATCATATAAGGTAACATGTAACCAACGCTGAGAAGCCTTTGACTCTATCTCAATCCATTGAGAAGTTGCAGCATTTTAAAATTAGTTTTGAGGAAAAAAATCAACGCAAAAAGTGTTGTTTGGCAATTTTGAGATATCCCCTCATTTCCATGGTAACAGAAAATTTAAGACTGAGCATGTTGTTACAAAGACAATGGTCCAGTCAGCATTGTGCCAAGTTTGATTAGTATTGAAGCAGTTTTATAGTTTTATAGCAATTTGAACTTGTAATGGGGTACTTTTCGATGAAAACAGCCATTTTCCACAAAATGCTCATGCGGTAATGGGTTAATAAATCACCTCTTTCTAATAAAAAATGCAAAATGTTGTTTTAAACTTTGCATCATGATTAAAAATAAAATAACAATTTATGATTTGAAATGAAATAAGACATAAAGCTGCTGGATTTTGAGTTATCACTTCCTGAAAATGACCGTAAGGGCAATAACTTACTTTCAGGGGCAGATTATTCTAAAAGTAGGACGGTGACAACGATTTATTTTTCATAAACTTGATTCAATTATTTTCTAGTAGCTAAATATTTTCAGTTTTTAAAGATACATTGTGCATCAAATCACATAACATTAAATTACTGCAACTGTTTAAAGTGTCAGGAAGCATTAGAAGAAATGAATAGTAAATGGCCAATGAGTAACTTTTGATCACTATAAACTGGTATAAAAAAACAACAACAAAAAACCTTTTAAAAACATATATTTTTGGCATAATAGGCATGTTACTACTGTTTAAAATGACAAGTCAATGTATTGACATGTTTTACATATTTTAGATTTTAAGAACAATTATTTACCAAAATGTGATACTGTCCTAGGATGATAATTTGGTCTTAACGGTACATGGGAAAGTCCAAAAACGGGGTTATCTGGATTATTATCCGATATCATAAAAGTAAACACTTACATAATTATACTATATAGCATTATTCTTACAGTATCTTCGTGTATTACCGTTATGGCTCTGCCGGTAGATCGAAATTTTTGTAACTTTTAGTGTTTTGTACTCATAGGTTCGAACCCCAAGTAGTGCCGTTTCATAACCACAGTTTTTTTCTTCTTGCTCTGTTTTTTAGCATTTTTATCTATTAATTTTTCGTTTTCCTTTTTGTTTTCTTCTTATCATATATATTTTATAGTATATATATATTTTTTATTCATATTCTATTTTGTTTTTGTATTTTTGGATCGCAGTGTTATAAAATATTCGATCTCATATGGTATCTTCATGTATGTATATGAAAAAAAAGTCAAACTTGTTTTCTGAACAATTGACTGTTCTGAGGTAAAAACAAGTGTCTTACCAGTAGTCGAACTTCTGCCTGTACTGGTAAAACACATTACTGACACGGTTGCTCTACCAACTGCGCTAACAAGACATATGATAACATGTAGTTTTATTTTCATTTTTATAGGTTGTGGCATTGATCTGCCTAACCTATTTTCCGTATTGTTGTTGGTCTTTGTTATGTAAACAAAGGCTCAAGTTATCATCCTAGGACAGTACATTCGTTATTGTGTCATGTTGCACATGCTTGAAGTTTATTTTTGTTCTTTGGTCATGCATGGTTGATTCAATAGGAATAAGTGGATTCTATATGTTGCTATGCTAGATAAAATAATATAAAGACTTTCCGAAAGAATGCAATTTAAAGAATGACCAATTGCAAAATTGATTAAGTGTGCATGTAAAGTAAGCAGGGTGGTGTGATATAATATTTAACGTTAGCTACTCTGATAGATTTCTCAAAAATAAATATGTTTGCATGTAATTCCGGAAATGCGAGTGCATTTTGAATGCATCGGATTTGGCATTCAAAATCGGAAACGTAAATTCATTTGAGCTTAACATTTTAAATACTTTTTGAAGGAAAAGAACATTTATATGTAAGGATTTTGTAAGGAAACCAAATAAAAATGCTTTAAAATGTTACACTAATTATCATTTTATATAACATCTCTGGATGAGTATGGTAAGAGAAGCAAGCGATGCAACTTTGGATAATGTAGTAAACTAAATATGCCCTGATACAAGAGTGGATGAACATTTTTGCAAAGATATTAATATAACATCACTATCTCTATAAGAGATCAAATGATGTGTAAAGATTTAAGTAATTTCATTTAAGAATGCATTCATTTATAATTGATACAGTGAAATAATCGTCAATACGTTTGTATCACATTTAAGCGGGTGTTTTGCAAGTATGTTTTATTTCATTTAGAGTTTATACACTCTTTGTTGACTGATGTCAATAAAAAAAAATTAAACGTCTATTTATTAAGATAGTGAATTTTGATTTCCTAATTAATAACACAAATATATTAAAGCACGTAGGTGTTGCGATAGAAGTGTCTTTAAGTTTACATCAATTGTCTGAAGGGTTGGTTTTCGACAATGCACAGGAAAACCTTTTATGATTAATTATGAAGGGGATTGTTATCAAAGCGGAAACAGATGAGGCCATCATAGATCATGTGTCAATACATCTATTATATTTTGAGCAATTATTAGATAAATGTAACTGACAGGTTTCAACTGTGCTCATTAAAACGGTGGTTTTAGAAGACTCAACAATGTCAGACAGAGAAGAATTCGCTATAGGTAAGTGAAATAAAGTTAATTTTCTTTCCAAAGTGGATTTCCAAATGTCACGTAATTTTGATTGATAAACGAATTCAATTTGATTGATTGACTGGTGACCGATTTTGAATTTTATTTATGCATTTATTTTTTTATCGTATCATTTTATTTGGTTAAAAAATATATAGGAGCACAATATGAAAGCTGACATAATACATTGCAAGGACAGATGTCTGTACCGTTATTTATTTTGCCATAAGCTTACGAGCAAACATTGCGTGAGTGGGAAAATATAAAAACAAAGTGAATTTATTAATTAAATTGAAAAACAATAATGTAATATAATTAATTCAAATAACTTTATTTGTGTTCTAAGGGCGACGGGTATGCAAACATAAAATCATTTAATATGTTTGCGTTACCTTTACTATTTTGTATCACAAGTTTTAATAATCATTATAATAATATGTAATAATTAGACGCTATACAACAACAACAACAAAAACAATAACAACAAAAAGAAATTCTTTCTCAAATGCCAATATTTGCATATTGTTTCTCTTATAAATCAGTAAATCTGACGATAATAATTCTTAAGGCTATTTATATTCCAGATAGTCCTGGTTCGAAGGGTACGGGAAATAGAATCCAGGTACGGATAAATATTGTTATATAAAAATAATTATTAACCATAAACCTTCAATCTTGTTTTACAAATATGAAACCGTTATTGGCTTATTTCGGAATTGGTTGGCTTAAAATTTTCTCTTTAGAGTTAAGTAAACTGAGTTAAAGGAACCCGGTTACCTATTGGTTAAGGTGTCTGTCTCTTAATCTAGGAATCATGGATTCAAGTCATAATCGGGTCACGACCATGTTTCTTCATATAACACCGTACTGGTTGGTTCCAGGAAGCCGTCTCGAAATTGATTAATATAAGTTGCAAGAACTTGTTTCGCAATCGAGCTTAAATAAATATGTTTATACCAAGTGAACTTAAACATATGTACAAGTTACCAATTAAGTACTTGTACAGCCATTGGATAAGTGAAATCAAATAATGAAATATAAGCATGGAAAAGAGCAATTTCTTTTCCGAAAAGGTCATATTCGTAAGGTCTTATATTTACAGCTACTCTCATTTTCATAAATTCACATGCTGTATCAGTTACAATGACTGATGTGACAAAATTCAAAATACACAAACGTACAAAATTAAAGATATTCAAATACAATTTCAGAATGACTCATTCAATATTGAAAGTTTATATCCACTTAGTCAAATCCGTTCAGGACACTAGTACATTCGTGTCATATCCGTTAATATAAACCATATCAGATAGATAGTAAGAATCTTTATGTTGGTTTTTCTAATATTGCTTTTCATGGTATTATATATTTGTAGACCTTTCTAAGTAAGAACAAGACTTTTTTACTCTTATTGGTGTTCCTTGCCATTGTTGTCAGCTTCCTAATTTACTTCGGACACTCCCAAGCAAAGATTAACAGGTTGGTGTGATATTTTTTGTGATATTTTTTATCACTTATAAACATGATTTTCACTTCTCGTATGTGTAATAGTTGAGACCACTTTGTTAAGATCTTTTAAGCTCACCGAATTAAATACATTAGAACATCGCGTCTTTTTACTTATTCTTATTTTTACAGATCTTTAACATAAATTGCTTGTTTTCAATATTTCCGCTTTGATTATTGTACCTTTAAGTAGAACTTGATTGCAGGGATTTGACAGATGCACTTACGACATCCAATAGACCTGCTGAGGAATTACGTGGTGATGCTCATGGTGACGTTCTTATGTCATCCAACCCACTTGTGGGTAATTTATTTGGTGAAGAAGGCAAAGACGATAAACAAAGACACTATCTCAATATTGGTAAATATTTTACGATAAAGAATGGTTCTGAATAATTTGACCTACTCTTTTCATAAAAGCTTATGTGATATACCGGTAATGTGTTCATTGTAAAATTGCTCTATATTATGCTATTTAAGTTGCCAAATAAAAACAGTATTAGATAAACATATGATTTGTAACTGTCTGTAAATATGCAAGCTTTCATTCCTTTGGTAATATATAATTCGAACCCAAGAAATCTGTTTCACATGATTGCCCTCCGGCAGAAATCCAAAGAATGTGTTACAGGTATGTTCTTTTTCTAAAATCTTATTGATTTACTTTGTTATACCACGGAAAAGTCACACCAGGAAAAGTCACACTTGGCTACCGATTTCAAAAAACTTTATTTCTTGATTTCTGAGAGGTTATATCATTATTTATAAATATGATTAAAACAAAGACAAAAGATCTCTTTATTATGAAATAACAAGCGTGTTTTGTTAAAAACCAATACAGCAAGAAACAATAACTTTTGACATAACACTCTTTAAAAATAATTAGAAGGAAATGTATTACAGCATAAGTTCAATATCAAATACCTTATCAACGTGAAATACACCATTCATTAGTATATTCCCAATTTCTTTAAAACATTGCAACTTTATCTGTTATATCTGGATGCAGGAATAATGCGCCAAGATGGCAATCTACTAGAATGCCTAGGGGGAACCGGATCCTTACAGCTTTCGTTTCCGGATATCGATTATGCTTTAATGGGTTACAATATATTGCGTGGTTTTCCTCTTGCAATTGGACATGACCCTGGCTTTACGTATCCAATATTTGCTGCCAATTACGAAACCAAAAAGCAAACCGCCGATTGCCGCTACAGTGTCCCACAAGGTCTTGTTGTGGTCCCGGACGTGTCGTGTATTACGTCGTTTACGTCAACAATCGTTCAAACACAATACGAGTTTGCAAATTCACTATCTGTGTCTGCAAGTGTAAGTGGTGGTGGATGGGGTGTGAGCTTTTCTGCAAGCGCCGGTTACAAAAAATCTTCGTCAGAAATATCTACTGGAGAGTCAGTGTACATCATTTCCTCGGCCAACTGCAATTATTATTTCAGCAAACTAGTCAAGCGGTCACCTCCCCCTCTGGACCCCGTTTTTCTTGGCTGGATAGAAAGGTTAAGTACGACCGACTCAACTGATTTGTACTTAGAATTTCTTGACACGTATGGCACCCATTTTCCTACTGAAGTTACTTTTGGAGCTAGGTTTACATATGAGCACAAAATGGAATCGAAAAAATACGAAAAAGAAAGTGAGAGTGGAGTCAACGTTGCTGTCTCTGCAAGCTACTCTGGCATAGTCAATGTTGGCGGTGGATTTTCAATGGATAAATCACAAAGAGAAAAGGCATCTGCATTTTCAAAATCAGTGGAAACGAAGACAATTTCAGTAGGAGCACCACCTCCTGCAAACGGCGACGCGCTTACTTGGGCTTCAACCGTAAAGGACAGTCCAGTACCATCTAGCTACAAACTTGCGTCTATAGAGGAGCTGTTTACAGATAAGTATTTGGATGAGACCCAATTAAGGGTAAATCTCGCCCATATTGCAAGAAATATCAATAAAACAAAACGCGAATATTGCCAGAATATGATTTCGAGGGGTGAAGTAGAGTCATGCCAGACTCTATCCCCGGGATTAATGCTTGGTCGAACAGAACTTCGTAATTACTATGATTCAACAGTTTCAACGTACAAAGAATGCGTCGACAATTGTTTGAAGCTCATCAAATGCGTTGCAATTGACTATTGTGATACTTGTAAAAGTTATAGCAATCATTATCATACTTGTTACATGTACAGCACAGATAGGTTTATATCTGGAGAGGAAAATGAGAGTTGGAAATCCCTACTAATAATCGGGAAATCGAGAAAAAACCTAACGCTCGAAGGCACGGATATCATAGGTACACCAAGACAGATGAATGAAGAGGGAGAAGACAATGTAGATGACAAAACGAAAGTTAACGAAACAGAATGTGGACGTGTTTGTATGGCCGATGCACATTGCGTTGCTTACAGCTACTGTGATTGCGACGAAGTTGAACAGAAATGCAAACTTTATAGTTTTGACAACATTAAAGGATTTAAGAAAGAGCCAAGAGCAACGACTATCTTCGTTGCCAAAAAAGAAGATTAAAACATTTTACCCTTTGAACAAGTTCAATATCAAAACATCAACGTTTAACGTTGAAAATTTGAATTGAGCGTTCACGATTCTTATTGTAGTATACATTTTATATTAATATATTGAAAGGCTTAAAAAGGACAGAGCTAAAAAAAAATAATTTATTGTCTTAATAAGCATATTCTTAGAACGACTGACATGCAAAGAGACTTCAACATCAAAGTGCAGTTTATTATCCCAAATGGGCACTATACAGAGTTCTTTTAAATTCATGAAAACGTAATTAAGTGGTGGTTGTTGTTGTGGTGGTGGTGTGTGTATGAATGTGCGTGTGTGTCTGTGCGCGCGCGCCCCAGAGCACTTGATTACAAGATGTTTCGTCATGCACAGCAAGCCATGACAAACGAACGTTATCAACTTAAAAAAAGAGAAAAAAATATAATGATCTATTTTAGGTGTTCCCCTGCATGAATATTTTGTCTCTGTTCTCTAACTTGAATATTTATTTTTTCGAAAAGCAATTTAGCAGCAACCGTCATGTGACAGACACATCCTTATAAACATGTTTTTGTGGTAAAACTTAAGTTCTTATTTTGTCTATATGCACAAACATACGTTTTTAAATTTTACATTCTTTATCATGCCATGTAGACGTTTCAATGTGGAATTCACATTAAAATTTGGGACATACGAAATCACGAATATAAAATCTACGGAAGTGAGAAGGTGGCGACTACGAGATTACGTTTTATTACGCTACGGTGGTAGAAAGGATATCGGGCAATTGAGATAGTCTTTGTTTAATTTGCAATAACTATCTTCTTAATAACATATTTCCAGTTACAGGAATTTTTATTCTAACGATTTAAAGATAGGATTGTACATTTAGCATTCCTAATGTACATGTACTTGTAATATTCTTTTATTGTACATTTAGCATTCCTACTGTACTTGTAATATTCTTTTTATATCTCATTCTACTGGCATCATGCATATTTAGAAATGAATTTAACATAAACAGGTCTATGCGTGTTTAAGTGTGTTATAAGTTGTGCGTGTTTGTAAAAAATCCTGTTGTAGATTTTCACCGCCGACCCAAATGGAACACATCGACGAATATTCATAAAACTCTCGGATTAAAATATGGCACCACGTGGTTTTAGATGTAAACAAAAAGAGAAGGTGTAATTTATGTTTAATTTGTTTAATGTAAAACGAATGTATACATGAGACATTCAAAGACAAATAAAGTCTATTTCGGTATAATGATGATTGACAATTTGTCTGACAATCATTATCAATTTTAAATTCCCACTGATGTACAAATTAACCAAATCCGAATTAATGTCAACAGTTACACTTTTTGTAACTTCATTGTCTACAACCATAATAATAAGTAAATAAATAATGTACTTTTTACTTTTATATCTATGAATTTACTTAATTTAGGTGGATTTTTAATCGATATATTGAAATAAACTGTCAACAACTCTTAGCATTACGTTTTAATTATTAGTTTTGACGTTAAGTGCTATTAACCGATTAACCACAATATCAATATTATTGAAAACAATCAGTGTAAATCAGTGTAAAGACAATCGTCTGTATAGTCTCTAAGCAATTACATCTGGCTTATAACAGTATTTAATTATATACTTTTGCTAAAGTATTTGTTAAACGACTTGAAAAAGTCATACACGTAAGATCGTTTAGTGATACTGAAACCACAAGTCAATTAAGTGATCACTTTGTAAAAAAAGTAATTTTTTGGGTGTATTTTGCCTCGTAGCTCGTAGACTATATATTATACATTTCTGGCAGTAATTGTCATTATTGTAAGTTGTCTAGTATACTTCGAATCCTAAACAAGCAAAGTTAAACAAGCAAATGCCACTGTTCATACCGTTTACGCTATGGATAATATCCCACCAATCATTTCAAGATCGCGGGAGCTGGATGAGAAGGGATGGGTTGGTTAGGAAGGTTTTTTGCAAAGTTTAGAAAAAAGCCGCAGGGTGAGGTAGATGTACGTTGTTGAAACAAAAGGCACTTTGAAATGATCCTGCAGTATATAACTGTGTTATATACTTTGCCGTTACTTGATTTTGGACGTTAAGTTAAATTTTACGGTGCATTTTCTTCATTCGGTCACTACATTTAAAAAGCTCTAAGCTAAGTATAACAATATTCTGTATTGAACTTTAAAGAGATGAATTTTTTTTCGAATTATATTATTTACTTATTTGGTTAAAACAGGGCTCTTACGACAAGATAACAGATGTTCCTGCACAAGACCTCTACCGACAGATCTTGTTGTTGTATAGTTTGATATTGGAACAATCATTTAAATCCATTCATTTAAATAGTATACATGAATTGTTAATGTTTTTCGTTTATATGCTTATTTGTTGAAAGTAAATAATGCAAACCTAAGTTATTATATTAACTTGTTTCAAAGATGATTTATTCGGTCTGTATAAGAGTTACATTTATACTTCGAGTATGTATATAAATGTTTATAAAAAGATTATATTATATTTGTATCATCTTCAGTATTTTTCGCATGTTAAAAGCACATAGGGGTATAATAACGATATTACATTAAATGTAAATAGTTCACGTTTTATATTTTGTTTTAGTTCCTTTGCATGTTAATGTGGTATGTAAATAGCCACTTGTTCCAGATATAGTGGAATAAAAATATGAGCACTTATCACACTGATACAACCGATGTGTTCCTTTTTTTGCTAAATTGCTATCAATGTTACTCATTAATTCTTGTGTAAAGTCCCCAAAAGCAATTCAAGAGCTAGGCCTGAAAAAAAGTAAAAAAGTACATTTCATCCCAAAAAATATTTCTCAAGTGTTTGACCAATACAGTTATGGGTACTTAGATTCCTTATTCAGAATGGACCGAAGTAACAAATCATAAAAAACGTTACAACTTAAGCAGCTGTGATAAAAGAGGCCACAATAACTACGCTGACCGGATATACATGAAAGACAGCAGGATATAGAGGATATTTGTTTAGTTCAGTGTAAGATCGAATATATTTCACCGAGTGAGCACCAAGGATATATTTCACGAGTGGCGCAGCAAGGAGTGAAATATGAACTTTTGGGGTTCACAAGGTGAAATATATTTTGATCTTACACTAAACTTAACAAATTTTCTTTTTATTATATGAAATAGTGAATGAAAAGCGCGCCAAATAATAATACAACGTAACGTCATGCCATAAAGTTGGTTCCCAGTACTGTTCACGCTGGTATTTCACTGAAACAACGTAAGGGGCTTAGATTCAAAACAGTGAAATTATCAAATTGATAAATTCACTGTTTAAAACAGTGAAATTATCAGTTTTATATCACTGATATATTTCTATAAACCACCGAAAAGCATGTAATAAAGGTATATAATATATTGAAAATATAATTTACTCATTTGACGTCATGTACCTTTAATAGTTTGTTTCTTTGAGAAAGAGATATTTTATGACAGCATAACAATACATTTTGCCTTGACCGAGCTGTCTAACTCATGTGACATGTTTTATTAAATACGGTACTTATCGATAGTTAGAGGACAATGGTACATATCAAATAACTTAAGTTCTTGTTAAAAAGCAAAACAAATAAAATAGATATTTTACTTTTAGTCAAAACAGTGACCCCTTGATCTAATGTTTTTCAGGACTTTTTTATAATTTCCCAGAACAACTACAAACAAAATATCTTTAATTCATATGAAGAAACCGTTTACAAAATCATACCCCATTCAAATCTATATAAAGAGAGCTACTTGTCTATATATATTGTGATATACATTAATACTTTTTTAAAAATGGACTAGTATTCATTACAATGTGTCCTGCGCTTTATATACGTGAATGTATTTTAGACAGAAGAATTTTAACAATTATATTCTGATAAAATAAGTGGCCCCTGAGATGAACTTATGCAGCAAATTGGAACCCTTTGTATAACATTTGTACATTGACAAAAAATCTTTGAAAATGGTAAAACTTTGCCCAGCAATTTTGTGAAATTTTTCATAATGACGCGCTTTGGAGGGCAATTTATGTACTTTGGTTGCAGCTAAAATGATTGACATTTAGATTATGAATACTTCTATTCAAAACACAAAAAAAACTTATTATTAAACTAATATGATCACTTTTATATACTAATATTCATTTTTGTGGCGCAATTATGAGTCATTTCATGTATAGTTTAAATTAGTTTTAATTGTTTTTCTTATTTCTTGCTGCACAAAACAAATTTTCTGTCCATTATAACTGTTTTTGTTGTTGTTGTTTTGTTTGCTTTTTTATTTCAATGAAAACCATTGTATATTTTATTGTAGGAATAAAAGGTATTAAATGTATATCTCAGAAGAATATTCTAAGTTTTACCCAACAAAAAGAACAATAACTCAATAAAAGTTGGAATCTGACAAATCATAGTCTTTGTAAAAATATGGACAAATTGTTTTGCATTTTAAAAGAAACCGTGGTTAAACAATTGATCATAGAAAAAAATGTGAAAAATAGACGCGGATGATGAAATGATAAATAAACTTATTCTACCTTGAATGTAAAACAGTCTATTCAAAGGTTAAACTATTTCAATATCTAAATACTAAAATTGAGCTGAAAAACAGTAAGGAGCCATATCAGACTGTACAGATGTGCACGCTGATCGGTCCTTAATTTTTAGTAAAGGACATCATTTTCGGTTTTAACATGTTCGATGTGCTAGTGGCAGTAACATCAGCACACTGTTATATTATGATAATTGTGTGTTTACTTAGTACATTATGTTCAATAAAGCACTTCCCTTAGGCATACTAATCTAACAATATAGAGACAGGTCTGTCTTGTCCAGGCACTGAAATCTCTTAAACATAATTTGAAATGGACTGTTAGAAATTCTAAGATGTACCAAGCCATCAAACATTTCAAGATAAATAAGGATTAAAAGGTTCGGAATAACAAAAAATTCGGGTTTTTACACATTCAGCCAAATAGTAAAGAAAACAACTAATGAAAACAGTAAACAATTTGAACGATTTATCGCATTCAGTTATAGGTCATTGCATTCTTTTTTTATAGGTCACTTTATAATCATTGCATTTATTATTGCATTGATATTGAAGACTTTCACCCATTTCATTGAAAGTTCATTTCCATCGCATTCAGAAAGTTTATTCATATTTTCATATTCATTTTCTTTCTAATTGGTTTTTTCTATGTATTAATGCGTTCGTTCGTTCGCTCGCTTTTATTTATTTATTTATTTAGTTAGTTATCTATTTATTAATTATCTGTTAGATGTAAGAGGAATAAGGAATAAGTATTATTTTTACAGTAAAAACGTCTTAAAAATGTGAAACTTAATTATAGATCGTAAATAACGCCTTGTATAGAAAATCAAAATACAAAACAATTTCTACTATTGCTAAATGAAACTGCAATATAAAATGCATAACTATTCAACAATTCAGAATATATACAGTATATATATAAACAATGATCATTAATTCACTGTAACAAGGGGAATAACTGGGATAATAATTCATAGGACAGCCATCGTGTGTTAACCTCTTATTTCTAAACTAAATATATTCTGTCTAAGCATTCTTGTAGATAACTTTTGGGTGATTAATACTCCATGTTTTATCATTAAAATAAGAATATTTACAGAATTGTTTTCATTACTTTACCAATAAAACTAATATCTCAAGAAATTAATAAATCAACCAAAGAAATTTATCGTATAAATCACAGTATAAATGTGTCATTATCAATATCTAATGAAATCACACATTCAACCAAACAATGTCAATGTAAGCCAGGTGACCTTTAATTCCCTTAGTTTGTCTTCAACCATTCAAATTTATTTTCAAATAAAGCAATTTGTAATCACCCAATGAAAAAATGAAGTATTTTTCCCCAGAAAATTAATTGAATATTTGTTTGGTTGGTTTGACGGCGTACCAACATATGGTGCCAAAACAGGAAAGATGATTTTGGCTAACACAGGGTGTTACAAACTTAAAGCAATACCAAGGGTCAAAACCTCACTTGCTGGACCTAAGAGTGCATAGACTTCTGTTGTTACAACCCATTCTCTTACGATCTGACACGCAGGGATAAACGGTAGCTGCAATTCTGATGCTTCGACATTTAGAGGCAACTCCTTAGCCACAAGGGGCAAAATTTCAATTGAAACTAAGCTAGTTCTTGCCAAACCAATTTAAGGTAACTGATAGTGCTTAAAAAATTTGTAACATATACGATTGAAACGTCAGACATACGGATAAATAATCGTGTTAATGCGATAACGATAGACTGTCCACTTTAGCTCTTGCTTTCTCTATTAATTGTTTTATTGAATAAGGTATATTCATTGATTGACTGCTTTTAATTCTTAGTTTCAAAACCCATTTCCTTTTTGGTATTAACATTCATTAACATTTTCGCAATCATCGGAATTCTATATTCTTGAATTTAAGAAGTTAATACGGAAAAAGAATAATCAAAGTAACACGTACCTCAAAAGGTATAATGAAACAGATCGATGTTTAAACTTATCTTTTAAGTAAGGGGAATTATTTCGAACATATTTTGTCAAAAGGAATGGCGACATGGCCGAGTGGTTAACGCGTCGGACTAGTAATCTCATGATCGCTAGCCGCATGGGTTCAAACCCCGTCAGGGGCAAGTCGTTGTTTCCTTGAGCAAAAACCTTTACACACATGCTAAGTACTGGTTGGTTCCAGGAATGAATTCAAAGTGTGTCTATGAGCTTATAGCTTCCTACACAACCAAGCTAAAATAAATTATGTATAAACCAAAAGCAATGACAGAGTTATTACCGCTTTCCTTAAAGTGGGAATAATAATCGATAAAACTAAGGCTTATTTAAGGATATAGTTAAAAAATATGGTGGTACAACGCTCCTTGTATAACAGATATAATCAATAGGGCTCAAACACTGTTAAAACAGTGCTACCGCAAATAACACACACTGACTTTTTATATTTCTTATCTCTATGCTTACTGGAATTAAAATGCCGTCAAGTAGAAGTATTAAAAACATAGCCCTCTAATCTGAAAAGATAAAACAAGGCCAATTCTGGTGATATATATACTCGTATGTAAAAATGTTCTGCCTTTTTTCTATGTGAGCTGCAGTGTAAGCAGATATCTAGCCTTCTGAATTTATATATTACTTCAATAAGAAAGACATCGGCAAGAAAGTGCTTGTTAATCGCCAACTTACTTATCTTTCATTCTCATTTTCATTTTAAGACACCTTGGTTAATGCAATTGTTTTTTTTGTTGTTGTTTTTTTGTTATTGTTGTTTGTTTGTTTGTTTGTATAAACTTATAGTAAACCAATACTTTAAGGTCATACGGCAATTTCCAAGCTTATTGATGGAGTATTTGCGTTCCTTCAAGCATTTTTTTAGTCATGAGCTTTCGTTTAAATAGAACCACTGGCCTTCCGCAGACTAGCTTGATAGCTTCCTACATGAAAGAAGTCCCTGAAGGGACTCGAATAAACGAATATAAGGGTTTATGCAAAAGAAATAATAAGTAATTGATAAAT